GCCCCCCCTGAAGCGCCCACGCGTCCTCTGCTGACAAGAGTAAAAACAAAAGCCTCACCTCGCTCACAGCTCTCTTGCAAGACAGTGGCTCCTGCACCCTCTATCCGGAACTGCAGCCTGCCAGCCAGCCCACCTGACTGCCAGCTGGCAGGCTGCAGTTCCGGATGGAGAGTGCAAGAGGCGCTGTCTTGCTGGCAGCCCTTTTCCCGAGCACCTGAGCTGCCAATGAGCAATGCCTGAGAGTGAAGTTCGCTCTCAGCCTGTCCTTAAAGAGCACCTCCAACAGTGCCACCAACAGCAGCTGCTGCCACCACCTCTTCCAGGGAAACGGCTCTCTGGCTCTCTTTCTCTCTCGGTACCCCCAGCACCAGCCCAGCCAACGGCCGCCTCAGCACCCAGCGGTGCTTCCTCCTCCTCCTCCTCTTCGTCCTGCTTCAGCTGCCTCAGCTCTGGAGACTGCCTGGGCTCGCCTCATAAAGTTTGCTCCTCTGTTGTGGTGGGGGTAGCTGCAGCGTCCGCCTTTTTTTAAGGAGGGGCCCTCAGAGGAAGGTTGCCGGACCTCCATGTGTATTTTTTTTCTGTGCGTGCGCACCTGCAAGCACCTGTGGGGGCGCACCCCATTCTGTTTAATTTTGCGGGTACCGATGGGGGCTTTTCTCCTTTGGCAAGGCAATTCTGTGAGGGTTTTTTTTTTAAAAATTATGTCGTGCCCTCCTCCCCCCCAGCTAGGCGGTCACTGGTGCTCCCTCTCTTCTCCGCTTTTGTCCTGCTGCTGCTGCTAGTGGTGGTAGTGAAGAAGGAGCCAGAGGGTCTCATGGCCGGCGATGAGAGCTTGCACGCCCCTCCTCCTCCTCCCCAGAGCCCTAGCCGGGCAAAGGAAACTCCTGGGTGGCTTCCTCAGGCTCTTGCTCCGCTTGGAGGAAAATCTTATGTGGCCCAGCCTCACCCAGACTCTGCCTCCAGCAGCCCCCAGGTAAATTTGAGTTTGAGACCCCTGAACTAGACAGACTTGAACATTGGGCCTTATTGAATAAGATGCAGTTCAGTAGCGGGAAAAGTAAAGTCTTGCACTTAGGCAGGAGAAACCAGATGCACAGGTACAGGATAGGTACTTGTGAGAGGGATTTAGGTGTCTTGGTGGACCACTGCCTAAGGATGAGTCAGCATTGTGCTGCAGCTGCCAAGAAAGCCAATATAGTCCTAGGCTACATCAACATCTTAATGCACTGCAGTGGGTGAAACAAGGTGACACTGAGACAGCTGTGATTAACATATCAGAACAGTAAACTAGAGCAATACTCTACATTCTCCCCCTCTCCAAAGGTAATCTATGGATTCAGCCATTGCTACTCCACTTGCTTTGTGTCTCACACATTTTTAACAGGAATCACAACTATTCTGGACTTGTCCTCTGCTATACTATTTACCCTGCAAGTTGTAGCTATGGAATTTCAATTGCTCTGGCTGCAGCTTTTTCCACATTATCTACTGGTGTGTGGCATCAGTTCCTATTGGTGTAGATGGTACTAGCCTATTTTCACAAGCTAGATTCTTACAGAATCTCTTCCTTTAGCACAGTGCTTTGCAACCTTGGGTCCCACGTATTCTTAGATTACAACTTCCAGAAATTCTGGCCAACACAGCTAGTGGTGAAGGCTTTGGGGAGTTTTAGTCCAAAAAGATCTGGCATCCAAGTTTGGGAGCCACTGCTTTAGCAGATGCCATTGATCTGACTAATTGCTAGCTAGGAAAGTCATCCTGACTGGAGATGTACTGTATTGCAGGCTACAGTGAGAGTTAAAGTACAGTGGTGCCCCACATAGTGATGATAATCCATGGAGCAAAAATCGCTGCAAAGCAATTTTGTCGCTATGTGAAAATAAAAAGCCCATAGGAATGCATTAAAACCCATTTAATGCGTTCCTATGGACTTAAAACTCACCTTTAAGCGAAAATCCTCCATGCGGCAGCCATTTTCGCTGCCCGGTAAGCGAGGAATCCGGGTGAAAACAGCAGGCAGCCATTTTTTTAACGCGGCGGCCATTTTGGAACCGACGATCAGCGATGCTGGGAAATCATCGCTATGCGACCATCGGTAAGCGAAATAGCGTACTGATCATCACAAAGCGATTTGTTACCATTTAAAACATCGCAATGCGATCGCTTTTGCGATCGCAAAATCTTCATTGCTATGCGGATTCGTCATTAAACGAAGCACTCGTTAAGCGAGGCACCACTGTAACTGAAATTAATGTACGCATCCCCAGGACAGCCAGCAAGCTGTGGCCTAAGGCAAGCTGCATAGTCTCAGGCTGCCCCCAGGAGAAGAGAATGGCAAACCACCTCTGAGTAGTAACTATCCAGAAAACCTTGAAAAGGGATAAAAGTCAGAACAGATTTGACAAAACACAATTATTATATTAAAATCTAAATACTCCAAAGGTGATACCCAATATAGTGTACTGAATAGAGTGATGGGATAGGACTCAGGAGATCTGGTTCAAATCCCTGTTCAGCCATGGAAAATCACTGCGGGTGTGGAAATGGCAAAACCACACAAAAATCTCACTTATCTTGAAAGCCCCATTAGGGTTGCTGTAAGTTGGTCCTGACTTGATGGTTATATGAACAAAAAAACCAAAGGTGCATATCTGAGGTGACCCCTTGAGTACATAAATGGCAAAATACAGCTCCAGGACCACATGTGGCTTCCAGTTTATACTGTGAATTTGAGGGTTTGGGCCATCCCTTTTAATATCAAAGGAATCTGCCCTGGGATATATAATGCAAGGATTTATCACCAAAATTTTTATCACTAGAATTTATCCCTAGAATGTTCTCTTTTTTCCTTGCTCTCTCTCTCTGTAGGGAAACAAAATCTAATTGCAAAGGAAATAACTGTGTGGATGGGAAGGGTCGAAATCATATAGTTTCTCAGTAAGAAAGGTTTAGCATGTTTCTCCTCTCTCCACCATTTTTCTTGATAACACTGGCTCCATCGATATACCAATTCTTTCTCCAGAAGCAAAGAGATTTTCAACTTCCATCTCCTGAGCATGACTACCAACAAAGGAAATAAGAAAGCTCTTCTTTATTAAGCGCATTAGAAAGGAGACCTTATGGTGAAGAGATTATGAAGAGAAACCTGTGGCTCCCACCTGCTGATTCAAATTTTAGGAATTTGAATTTACTGGAACTTCATATTGTAAACTTGGAATCTAACTAAATTCTGATATTCTCCCAATTTCTTCTTATGAAAGGAATGTTAATTAAAAATCATTTAAAATAAGTATGCAGTTTCTTTTATTACTTCAGGAGATAAAAGGGAAACCTTTTGGTTTTTAAAAATATACCATCAAGTCAGAACTATATTTAGTTACTCAAACAGCAATAGGGTGTTTACATCCTTTGCATTCTTGGAACATGAAACTCCTGTCTGTTATAAACACTCAGCTCTGACAGAAGACATGATTTTCTTCTCAACAACTTCCTTTATCTTTCTATCACGGGGGGGGGGGAGACTGACTGTTCAAAAATGGTTCCCTACTACAAAGAGAATTGCAGAGTGAACACTTGTCATATATAACATGATTTATGTATTACAGCAGAAATTTCTTTGTAAACATTTAGTATTCTGAGTTTTGGAAGGGGGCTGAGAAAGGGGGGGGAACTCAAAACAGAGCCAAGAATTATCTATCTGAAATACAAAAAAATCTCAGTCTCTTAGTTGCAATCTGATGGGGAAAAAGGATCATGTCTTATCTCTCCAGAAAGGGCTGCTTTGCCAGGAGCAATCTCTCTTAAAATGACCAGTCTATCTATCTGGTCACTCCAGCCCAGTTCCAAAAAAGAGAGTAACTCTGCTGCTAGACCAAAAAGGTCCAGATTGGACACAGATCAAGGTCAGGCTGGAGTGCTAATGCCTGTACATCATGTGATCTCCAGGAAGTAGTTTGCTCTGGACCATACCAAGTGACCTAGAATGTGAGCTATTTCCTGGTCTGATCAAGCCTTAATTCATAAACGAAACAGAAAATAATTCTGAATAGCTGGGTTAGGTATTTAAGATGCTGTGGTTGCTATTAGAGATGCTGGATTGGAAGAGAGACACTATTCTCAGGAAGCAAAGCAAAGTGTGCTGCTTATATACTGCCCAATAATGCTTAAAGGACTCTCTGGGTAGTTTACCATTTAATTATGCAGGTTACACAGCAAGCTGGGTACTCGATTTACTGACTTCAGAGGGGTGGAAGGCTGAGTGAAAGGCTGAGCGAATTTCAAGCTGGCTATCTAAAACTGAATCCAGGTTGTGAGCAGAACTTTGGCTGCAGAACTACAATTTAACCACTGCACCACGAGGAACCACAAGGAGGGGTCCCTTTTGCTTTCCTGTGTGCTCTCTCACATAAATTCTGCAGTACCTCACTGATCATCATGGATAGCAAGCTAAAGCTTCAATAAGGAACAGTTGGGTATAAGACACCCTGAACTGCCATTTGTAACTACACTTTTCTTTAATGGAGGGAGGCAAAAGAAAAATTAGCCAGTATCTTTTTACACTTTATTAGTTTCCACTGAGTAACTGAACCAGAGGATCAAACAACATACTGATTACTATCTCCATGCCTATAGATAAAATACTTATGGTACATCTAGCTTTTAAGAGTTTGTAAAAAACTGCAATAAAATTTTTAAGAGAGGCAGTGTAGTGTAGTGGACAGTGTTGGATAAGAACTCCAGAGACCATAATTCAAACCCTTTCTTGGCCATGGAAACTTGAAGTATGGTGGCAGCAGTACAAGCACTCCTTGAACATCTCACACACCTCAAAAACACAGCTGAGATTGGAAACAATATGACAGTCCAAATCACACAAACACTATGAAGTAAAGAATATTGTGGTCAATGGAGTTCCACCGTAAATAATTGTACTTTAATTTTGCTGGTTGGTACTCAAACTCATACACTAGGAAATCATTATTATTACTGGCATGAATTACCTTCAAGAATCCTTTGTGTCTGATTCTGTTCACTGAGATGATTCTTTACTGGATCTCTACACTGCAGCTCCTATGTAATTAAAGAAAGAAAGCACTTTCAGGAGTGTTAATATCAAATAGCAAAATAAACATTGATACTGGCAGCAATAGTTTCTAATAAAGGATTTACTAAAGAGAAACACATGAGGAAGAATTTAGTTTAAATCAATTACTTATAAAATGCTGTTAAACTGTACATAAGAACTCTGGATGATAACCAAAACTGCACAGACTCTTCCTTATGCAATTAAATTTTCTCTTCTTAAACCTCCCCTACTCCCCCCCCATCCCATACTTGCTCTGAAAAGTCATCCTCATCATCCGGAACACATTTGGAGGAAAGAGGCTGCAGGAAAGAAGTCAAATCCATTCTGCTGTAGATGCTACCTGGATATTTATTTTATTTTATTTAACTTATATGACACCCACACTACCCAAAGGTCTCTGGGTGGATCTCTGAAAACTATTCATTAAAACATGTCAACTCAAATGTATTATTGTCTAATTGCTTACTTGTAACTGTTGTTCTTCAAGTAGTTATCTGTGGATTCACACAAATGCATCTGCACAACTACCAAGCCATATTCTGGAACATTCTCCAGTCAGTCTTTTGGCAGTTACTCAGCCCTTCCCTACCTTCACACATATATAGGTGCACCCTGATCAGCAGTCCAGGACACTGAGGGAAAGAGGGCAGGGTGCGTGAATCCACAGATGACCACTCAGTGAACAACAGTTACAGCAACCAAACGTTCTTTGGGCCTCTGTGGATCACATAAATGCATACACTGCAAGATCACTTATCGGAGGAGGGAGTGTCACTGCAGAATGGTTGGGACAACAGCTCTCCCAAGTTTATTGTTCTGACTCCTGATAAATAGTACTTGGCAAAAGTTGATGGTCAAGACCAGGTGACTGCATTGCATATTTCTTGTAAAGAGATGCCACTAAGAAGTGGAGCAGATGAGTGCATACTCAACTCCCTAGGCTCATCTAGGGATGAGTGTATGGACTTGGGTAGGCCTTTTAACTGATATGTTGTGATGACAATGGGGTGCTTTCTAAAGCAGTCAATTGTCCTCCACAGACCTCCATAGCGAACAAATATGCTGATGTACAGAAAAAAGCAGTATGGGACAGGTAAAAGGCAAGTGCATACTGGACATCCAAGGTATGCAGCATATGCTCCAAAGGTGAAATAGGATTGCAGAAGAAAGTGAGCAATGTTATATCTTGATTAAGATGGAGAGTGGGGACAATCTTAGGAAGGAAGGATGTTACTGATGTGAAAAAGGTAAGGTGGGTCAATCCAAGGTGTGCGAAGCCCAATGCACACCAAGCTGAAGTTATGGCTACTAAGAATGCTGTTTTTCAAGAGAGTAGGAGAGGGCAGGTCGCAAACAGCTCAAGTGATGGCTTCATGTGCTGATGCAACACCAGCTGAAGGGACCAAGCAAGTAATGGGGGGCGAGCCTGTGGAATTAAGTTCTGTAATCTCTTGAGAAATGGCTTCAATAATGGATGAGTGAAAAGAGAGGAGGAGCCTGAGGGACAAGATCTCTTGGTTGTAATGGCAGTAAGATAAACATTGATAGATGAGTAGGAACTTCATCCTTCAGGGATAAGAGAAAATAAAGCATTTCAGAGACATGGCAAGAAAGAAGGGAGGAGTCATTGTTGAGCAAAGTTAGAGAACTACGGCTCTTTGACATCATAGGTTTCCTTGTGTATGGTTTTCTTTATTAATTCCAGAGTGCAAGGATTCCGAAATTATATCTTCCATCCTATCAGATGGAAAGATTGGAGGGCTAGGTGATGGACGTGGTTGTGAGTTTGGGTCAGAAAATTTGATATGTTGCGGAGATGGAGGAATCTGCACTGGGAAAAATGAAGTAAGTTAGTGAACCAGGGTTGCTATGGCCACTGTAACAGGCAGACACAACATCACATGTCCGTCACAGCTGGGCAGTGAGTCATCAGCCTATGGTGTGATGGAGGGTGGAACTTAAGGGGAGGAGCTAGTATAAAAAGGGGGTGAAGAGTGTGTGAGGAGAGATTGGAGAGCAGAGTCTGAGCTGAGAGTTTAAAGTGATTAGTAGTTAGAGTGAGTGAGTGAGCCTGTCAGTGGAGATATAGTCTGTGTGAGCCAGAGTTTATTAACAGTGATTGATTAACTGATTCTTTACAAGTGATTTATTATTTATTTTTCTATAATCAATAAACCAGTTTTTGTTTTTAAAAGATATACTTGTCCTTTTATGATTTTTTAAGGATACGTTGGTGGCAGCAGAGGTTTTTGAAGTGAAGTAGCAATCACTCTGTGAAGTGTGAGGGTGGCTGTTACAATAAATTGGTGTCCAGTGTGTGGGATTCGAAGATCTAGTGAAGCCTTGTGTGGAAAGGTGCCCAGAGCAGGGTATTTTAGTCAGGGACGTCTGAGTGAACGCGTGGGTAACCTTCTAGGACTTGTCTCACACAGGAGAAAGTCTAGTAGAAGGGCGCTGAAGCTCAGACTGGGGACTAAGATAGGGAAGCTCTGTGGTGACCATTTCTGTGGAGAGTTGCCCAAAGCAAAAGCTGTGGCAGATTGGCTGGCTAGTCCTGAGTTTGGGGAAAACTCTGGGAGGACAAAGCGGAGCCAAGGGCAGTTAGGCTGAAGGAACTCAAAAGCAGGTGAACCTGGGACAAGGGGAAGCTGTGTGTGGTTAAGATTTGGTGCCTGAGACAGAAAGGAAAATTCTGTTTTGGCGGGAGGCCTAGCTGGGAGGCTGAAGCCTGGTAACAGTAGCTAGCTTGCCAGTGCTGGTGGAGCAGCAACTTTATAACAGACTCACTGACAGGGAAAAAGTGTACTTTTTAAAATCAAGGCTTGTAAGTGGGAACAGAAGCCTAAGAAAAGGAAAATGCCCTTGACCAGGGGAAAGAAAGCTGAACAGAGGCCTTATGAGATGGCAGCTGGGTCAGACAGTGAGAATGGGTGTTACATACAGCACTGATGTTACCTGTCTGTCATGGGTTTGGAGGGAAAGTTCCATCCTATGGGGAGTGGAAGGCGGGACATCAGGAGGAGGGGCTGTACTGTATATATATGTGGAGCGTGTGTGGAGA